AATTCAACAAACAATCACATCTCTGTGTTTAGAAACATTCGAAACACGTGTAAAAGCTTTATACAACATGGTAGAAAAAAAATTTGAAGTTGGCGAAGGACAACTCCTACGATTAGTAGTTGGTGCTTGCGCATTATTAGCAATTAGGGAAGAAAAAATTCCGAAAACTATGCGTGAAGTTGCGGTAATATTTCATAATTTTTAATAATTTTGAATCTAGTATAAATATTGCCTTACAAACCAATTATCCACATTTATGTAGTTTATATTAGGTTTGGAATTCCGGAATCTGACAGCAGTAGTTCATAAAATACGAACTCATGTTCTCCCGTCAGTTCCAAGTTTCATAGATGTTGAGTTGCTAGTTATTAATGCAATCAATAAATTATTTGAAAATCAAAATGTTAAACTTCCGATATACACTGATATTAGACAACTCGATCATCTCAAATATGATTTATCAGTATTAAATGCACAATATTATGATGATTACTTGGATGAAGAAACAACAAACAATTCGAGCGATGATTTTTCAGTACTAATAATGAAAAGTTATTGCAAAGTTTTTTTCAGTCTTTGCATGGAGTTACTTAAATATTCTGATAATGATAACCTTGTTAGCGGAAGACAACCCTCCCCCATCGGTGCGGCAATTGTTTTGCTTGCAATTGAGGCTACTGAAAAACCGAGTTTTGATGAATGGAAAAATAATCACAGACGTGCATCTGAAATTATTGGAAGAATATTTCAAATTGATCCAAAGTTGACAATGAATGATAGATATAGAGAGATGGTTAATTTGATGCATTCCAAGGTCAACGCTCTCCCTTGGAGTTCTCTTTCACAGGAATGTAAAAGTAGATGTTATATATTCATCACAGATGTAATACAGTTTCATAAATGGATTCTGAATTGCCGCGAAAAAGGTAGACAAAATGTTCGGCATTCTGATCAAGATGCTAATAATGAACTCATCGAAATCGAGATGAACAAAGACCTTGATTGCAGAGACGTTGTCCAGGAACTAAATAAAAAAAACGATGAAGCTGGTGTAGCAAATTCAAGAGATTTAGAATTCTATTCCGATAGAGAAACTGATGAATCGGATTTCTTTTTGGATGACGATGAGTTAGAAGATTATGTACGAGATGAAGATGAGGTATAAATTTCATGCTCTCGAGAATTTTACATTGTTTTTAACGTATATATTTATATTCTTTATCTTTTGATATTTCATAAACAAAAATTTTATAAAAATGAATGCTTTCTACCAGATTGAACTCGCCAAGGAATCTTGGGAGCTTTATCATCAAGAAGATTCTAATGGTAAAGAAAAGCAATCGAAAGATGCGAAAAGTAAGCTGCCCACAAAGCGATGTAGAGTACTCCGTGAAAGAGGTATCTCTAAAAAGTCTAAGACAACCGATGTTAATAACAAGAGGAATGCACATCTGGAAACTGCTTTGGAAAACAGATCTGTAATACCAAAGCGCAAGTACACTAAGAAGGCAGATAAGATCGACGCGATACAGGAACGTGTTCAGATAGAATCCAGTACTTCCAAAATAAAACTAAACTTTGATCCTAATCAAATAAATATGGCTTTATTCGATCATATTTAATAATGTCGAACAGGCTTAAAAGGGTTTTAAATAGAATATACAATATCTATATCTAAATGCTATTGCAACCTTATTACGTACAAATTAGTGTTTTATTTCACATAACATTATTGTTACGGTGCTACTTGCCCAGTTAGTGATGTGACTAAATATTACTTTTTTGCTATCAGATTCGTGATACCCACATGAAACAAGCAATGGGTAAAATCACGTTTCGTATATTGTTTTCCCTAGTCATAAAACTCACGCATAATTACATGGCATTTTAAATACATATACTGTACAGACGTATGTAATCTTTATATATTGCGGTATTACATTTTTCGCTTGTTGTGTCAAGTGTATCATTACTTATTGCCTATTATTATTTTGACGCATCCTCTCTCTTATTATCAATCTAAACAATATCATTTCTTCCCTTCTCCGTTAGTTTATTTTCAGCCCTTAAATATTACCATTTCTCTCCACGACTCGTTTGCATTCAGCTCTTAATAAAATTTTC